TGTTCTCCCACATGGAACCCTCTCCCTAATCTAAACACTTCCATGGCTCCATGGCTTCATAGCCCATCACAGGATAATGAGGCCACAGAAACTGCATGCATGTTCACATGTGTATACATGTGTGTATGTGTGCATGTTTATGCACACATATACGTGTGTGTACATGAGTAATGCGTGCATGTGTGCTGAGCAAAGCGTGGGGGTGTGGGGTTGGCAGTGCCTAATGATTTTCTCCATCTTGAACATTGCAGGTTCTTTCCTGGGAGAGCCATGAAACCATGGTGTGTCAGCAGGAGGGTCTCAGGACGAGACCTATGAAGTGAAGATGAACAAAGACGCAGAGGCCTGCATTGAGCCCAGCCTCCTCTCCACAGAGATGTGAGCTCTGCTGTCCTCTTCCCAGGCTGGCCTCATGTGAGGATGGCTTTGGGGAGGCAGGGATAGGTCCCTGAGATCTCACCTCTGGCTGATTTGCAGGAAGAGAGGGGATCGCAGAGAAAAATCTGTACAACCTCTGATGAGAGCCTTTCTCTCTCTTACACACACACACATATACACAATGCCCTTTTAGCTCAACCTTTATTCATCAGAACATTTCTAAACATTGCTTCTTAAATCTTTTAAGTTGTAACCGACATAAATCATCTATTTCCTGGCGAGACTCAGTGCACACACACAGATGTTGACAATTAAACAATGTTATGAGACACGACTTATAATAAAGCTGCCCAGAAGAGGGCACTGGTGGCAAATCTAGGCCTGAGTTTTTGTCTTTGCTGGAATTTTTGGAGTACTTTAGCTGCAGACTTAGATTCATTAGAAAGTTGTGACATCCACTTGGTCAGTTATAATGAGCTCTTAAAAGAATAGCATAGCATAGCATAGCAATCACAATAGAAACTATCGGAGTGCATCATATTTCACAAAGGTAAGTAGTATGTTGTGCAGCACTTGCTTAATTGCCAATATCTGTATATATCTAGGGGATCTCTTGTGAAAAATCTTTATGACTTTATAGCAGTTTGAGACACACTGTTTCAGAAGTTTTTCTGAAAGGACTTTAGAGTGAGGAAGGACTAGCCTTCTAGGCTTTTGAAGACAGGACAGGTGTGGCTGGAGGTGATGGGAGGGGGCACCAGGCCTTTAACCCCGAGGAGTATTGGGGAGCAGCAACCAGGCCACAGCATGTGGCTTCCAGGGGTCCTGGTGCTTTCTTCTCAGGAACTGGGTGGGAGGATTAGCAGAGATGCCTCCTTTTCCTCTGGCATAGAAAGAAGAATCTACTGAGTAAGAAAAAACTTGGAAATAGTCCCAACCAGTGACGCTTGACAGATTATTCAACTGTCCTGTGCCTCTGTGTCCCTGACAGAAAATGGGGCGATGGGAGTGGCAGAACTACTTTTTTGACTCAATGAAACATAGCCATTATAAAACCAAGAGAAATATTTGATGTTCCTTATGAGATGATATTCTCTAAATTGATTTTTAGGGAATACAAATTAATACATGACCATCTACCTTAGAAATAAGAAAGCCTATATTTTAACATATTTTCGTCCTTCTAGAGTTCTTGGTACACTCAGGCACTCTACTCTACATGAAGAAGCTAGTCTCTATCCTCAAAGACATTCTACAAACTAGGAAGCTAGGAGGGTCTCAGAAGAGGAAGATAATACAGACAGTTTCTCACTAATTGCCCCAGAGTGGTACAACCCTGAGAGGTACAGGCTGCAGAGAAGGTTGAGAGCAGGGTGACTTTAATGGGAACCATGCACAAGATCAAGCAAACAGAAGTGTGCTGCAAGAGTGGGGGTGATATGCAAAAGAAAAAAATATGATAGGGAGGCTTACCTGGCTGAGAATGAGAATAAGGCTTGCAGGCATAAGCATGTGTGGTTTTTGCTCAACCAGAGTTCTTGCACAGCTAAAAGTACTTCAAGGCTCTGTCCTGTGCTGGGAAGAGGTGTGAGGTCACCCTCATGCTTCTGAGGTGTGGGTTGGCCCTATGGACCAGTGAGTCTGTGGTCTTGTCTGGCAAATGGGGTTGGAATGCAACAGTGCTTCTTGGACTGCAGGCTGACCCAGTAGGGATTGTGAATTGATTTTTAAATAAAATACACAGATTGAAGTAGAGTAGGACTCAGCAGGGTGCAATAAATGCCCCTAAGGTGGGTACAGGACATGAGGTTTCATTCCATGGGGTGTGTCTATGCATGATGGGAATGTGTCAAATCTATGTCTCACTGAGTCTTTTTAACCCCTTCAGCTCACTTCGAAGTGAGCACCCCACTTTGGGTGGTGCTCAGAAGAAAGGTGCTCACTTGGGTCAGAGCAGAGAGAGCTTCCCAAAATGAGCCACTCTTGGCTGTGACTACCACTGCACAGAGCCATGTTTTCCCTTCCTCTGCTTCCAGCTCCCCTGCCTTCTCATATCACTCCTGCTTTTCAGCTTTGCCCCCCACTTTCTGAATTTCCCTCTACCCAGTACCCTTTTTTGGCTACAGCCCTTTTAGCGCTCTTCACATGCCTCCAAGCTTCTGATTTTTTAATATCCCAGTCTCCATTCAAAAACTTTTACTACTCAAACTCTCTTCCAAATTTTTCTAACTTAAAAACAATTTTCAACGGTTCTATTTTCTTCAGTTTGATTTTCACTCCAACCTCCTCCCAGTCTAGCCCCTTTAAATGCTGCCAGGTTTCAATATCCCCAATGGATTAAATGTCCAATTTCTTTCCTCCTTTGCCCCTACCGATGATCTGGTTACTCCTTTTTGCTTCAACATTCCCCCGAACCTTCTCAAACACTGATATTTCCCCTCTTTCCCCACAAATCTCCCTGTCAGGCTTCTGCCCCCAAACATCTTCTCACCCCTTCACACCACATCACCCAGGTCCTTTAGATTCCTATGCAGCCGATTTCTCTGTCCCCTCACACCCGCTTGCTTCCCTTGCTCCCACCATGGCAGTGCCCATCTGCTCCTCCCCGCTCTCTCAGGTCTGTTGCTCAGGACGTCTTTGGCGACGGCGAGGGAGATGCTTGCTGAAGAGGGGCTCCGGGGGCAGCATGGCAATCCGGGGGACCTTTCTTCTCATTGTTGGCCTTGGCCCCAAGTGTCCCCAGGTGCTGATGGAGGGCGTGGGGTGTGTGAGCCCTGCCGCCAGGGCCTGGCTGGCGTTGTGCCAGGAGCTGTCCATGGTCCTGAAACGATGCCGGTTGTGATTGTTCGAACGAGCGTTGTCCGTGGTGCTGAAGAGGTTCCTGGACTCCGGCAGTGGCGGCAGCAGTGCCTAGGAGGCCGGCAGCCGGAAGACCACCAGGTAAAGAATCCTGGCGGAGGCTAAGCTTGCAGCAGCTGCTGATACTCCCACAAGCAGCGATTCTCCGCGCTCAGCTCCGTCCAGCCGCCGCTCCAGCTCGTCGATGCTCTGGCGCTGGGTGTGGACAAGGCTCTGCTGGTTCTTTTTCTTTTTTCTTTTGACAGAATCTCATTCTGTTGCCAGGCTGGAGTGCAGTGGCACGACCTCAGCTCACTGTAACCTCTGCGTCCCAGGTTCAAGCGAATCTTCTGCCCCAGCCTCCCGAATAGCTGAGACTACAGGAGCGTGCCACCACTACCAGCTAATTTTCGTATTTTTAGTAGAGACGGGGTTTCACCGTGTTGGCCAGGATGGTCTCGATCCCTCGACCTCGTGATCCACCCACTTAGGTCTCCCAAAGTGTTGGGATTACAGGCCTGAGTCTCCGCGCCCTGCGAGGTTCTGCTGGTTCTGCATGATGGCCCTGAGCTCCTTGAGGTAGAGCCCGGCGCACCAGATTCTCCGGCAGCCTCTCCAAGCCGCCCACCCGCCGCCCGTGCCCTGCCCGCGCCTGGGCGGGTGGTGGGCAGCGAGAGGGAGCCGGATCCTAGCAGCCCAGCGTTGGGCTTGCTTCCTTCTCCCCCGGACCTTACTTCCCTCTCGCCGCTGGCGCCGTGTCACCGCCACCCTGGCCTTCACACACCCACCGCGGGGCGGTGCCAAGCCCCAGGGCAGCCCCTCCTGTCTTGGCGTCCAGAGGAGGCTCTTACTCGCCGGATAGAGAGAAGAGGGAGAAAGCGAGCAAGACGTTCGGATGTGGGAGGGAAGCAGTATAAATGCAGGGGTCTGTAGAAGGATGGTGAATCTGACTGGCAAGACGCAAAAGTGAGTGAGTGAGAGTGAGTGAGTGAGTAAAAAGAAAGCAGCGATACTGGGAAGGTTACTCCTTTTTGCTCCAACATTCCCCCAAACCTTCTCAAATACTGATGTTTTCCCCTCTTCCCCCACAAATCTGTCAGTCTTCTGCCCCAAACACCTTCTCACCCCTTAACACCACATCACCCAGGTCCTTTAGATTCCTACGCAGCCGAATTCTCTGTCCCCTCACACCCGCTTGCTTCCCTTGCTCCCACCATGGCAGTGCCCATCTGCTCCTCCCCGCTCACTCAGGTCTGTTGCTCAGGACGTCTTTGGCGACGGCGAGGGAGATTCTTGCTGAAGAGGGGCTCCGGGGACAGCAAGGCAATCCGGGGGACCTTTCTTCTCATTGTTGGCCTTGGCCCCAAGTGTGCCCAGGTGCTGATGGAGCGTCTGGGGTGTGTGAGCCCTGCCGCCAGGCCCCGGGTGGGGCTGCGCCAGGAGCTGTCCGTGGTCCTGAAACAATGCCGGCTGAGGCGCGGGCTGTGACTGGGTGAACGAGCGCTATCCGTGGTGCTGAAGAGGTTCCTTGGCCCCCGGCTGTGGCGAGAGCGGTGCCTAGGAAACCGGCAGCCGGAAGACCACCAGGAATGCTTCTTGGAGGAAGTAACCCTTGAGGTGGGGAGGGTTTTCCAGGAAGGGAGAGGATAGCATGAGCAAAACCTTAGAGATATTAATAATCGTGGACTGATAATCATGGCCTTGTGTGCGTGCCTTGTCACGCCAATCCCTTAAGATTCCGAGCCCTTTGTGCTCGCCTCTCCCTCCAGTACCTAGTGCGCGCGCTGCTTCCTACCCGCCCCCAATCCCACGGTTGCCAGTAGCTGCCTTGTGCCCGTACCTTGCCGCGCCAATCCGTTAAGGTCCCAGGTCCTTAGTGCGTGCGCCTCTCCCTACGGTACACCACGCGCGCGCGCCGCCCCTTCCGTTGCCAACAGGTGCCTTGTGCGCGAACCTTGCCGGCCAAACCGTTAACGTCTGGCGTCTTTTGTGCGTGCGCCTCTCCTTCCAGTACCTATCAGGCGCCCCTTCAACCCCGCGCCCTTTCCCGCCGCCATTGCTCGCAGGACGCTCAGAGTCCAGCTCTCCAGAGTTCAACGATCCGAAAATACCCCACTGCTCCCAGGAGCGGTTACCTGGGCACTCTGTGCCCTTTATCCCTGTCCCGGTCCCTTCCTGGGGTTGAGGACCCCAGCAGTAGGACTCAGTTTCCTTGAGCCTGCTGCCCGCATCCCTCACTTCATTTTGCTTGTGGGATCTCTCTGTTGCTCCTGCCCTTGGACGGAGTGGCAAGCCTTCCTACAAGTACCCAGACACTTAAAATCAGCCTGGTGTCGAAACAACTCCAAGGATTTATCCTTCAAGCCCTGTGTTCTGTCCGGCGATCCTACCTTCAATTTGAGGCACAGGTACCGCAGCAAGCCAGTGCCCTAAGGACTCTCAGAGAGGCCCTGGAGGAGGTAATCACCTTTTTGTGGCCCAGAACACCCAGCTTTACCCCACACTCCCATCCAGAGATCATGTAGAGGGCCCTCATGGAGAGTGGGGCAGGGATGCCTGAGCAGGACAAGGACCCCAGAGTCAAAGAGAAGCCCGATGATCAGAAAGGGGGCCCTGAGGGCACCAGCAATGCACGGTCTGCATGTACACCCCTGCAGGACAGTGGAGGCCCCTCTCCCTTCATACCCACGCCCGGGCCCGGGCCCCTGCAGAGAGCCCTCCATACCCAGAGGTCAGAAATCCCATCTGACCAGACATCCCAGCCCTCCGGGATCTCCAAGCACAATGCCATCCACAGCTCCTACAGCTCCATGGGAGGCTTCCCGTGGCTAAAGAGGAGGAATGGGCCAGCCTCATCCCACTGCCAGCTGCCCCTCACTTCTTCAAAGACAGTGAGTGAGGTCAGCCCTCAGGCTGTCTCTCAGGGTCAGGCCCAGTGTGAAAAGGCAGCAGATTCAGCACCTGGGGAGAAACCGGCCCCCAGGAGTGGCTCCCCGACATCTCAGGCCTCTAGGCCTCATAGACGAAAGTTCTGTCTGCTGCCATGCAGATGAGGGGAGCCTCTGAGGCTGCCATCTCCCTTACAGCTTGGGTTCCGGGTCACCGCTGAAGACCTGGACCTGGAGAAAAAGGCCAAAATCATGTGCCTTAATAGTGCACTGCAGGGTGAGGAAAAGTCCCTCTGGGAGTGCAGAGCCTCACTGCTGTCCCATGCTTTGTCCTCACCGGCAACAGGGACGTCTTCTCTGCCTGCTGTCCCTAAAGCATCCAGCACAGAGGCACAGCAGGAGAGACGCAAGTCCCAAGATGTCCTGGACCCCATGGCTCTCCAAGCATCTGCTGCAGGGTCCCCCTCTAGACCTCCTGTGTCTTGGAGGAAGTGCAGGTCAGCAGGCCCCCTGTTCTCCTCCTCAGACACCCTTTCTGCCACCTCTGCATATTTCCGGGACTCAGCCCAGGCCTCATCGTCTGCTCCAACACAACCAGACCAGGGCGCCACAGCACACTCAGCCGCAGGGGCTTCCTTACCAACCACTTCCACCTCGAGCCCCCGCACCAAAAGAAAGTCAACCTGGGCTGCAGACCTGGCTGGGAGCCTTCCTGACCCATCTTCTGCCTCTCCCACCACCACTCTGGCCAGACAGAGGGTCAGTGGTCCCACCTCACTACTGAAACTTCCCGTGACCACTGCAGCCACCACCCAGCCCAAACCTGTGGTCCTTCAGCTGCAGGGGTTTCCTTACCCACCACTTCCACCTCAAGCCTGGCTGGCACCCTTTCTAACCCATCTTCTGCCTCTCACCACCCTGGCCAGACAGAGGGTCAGTGATTTTGCCTCACTACAGAAACTTGACGCTATTGCTGCAGCCATCACCTAGCCCAAACTGGTGGTCCTTCATGGACAGCAGCAGGAAACCCACATTTTGAAGCGGGCTCATCCATATTCCCGTCCAGCTGCTTCAGCTGCAGCCCAGGCCTCATCTTCTGCTCCAACACAGCCAGCCCAGGGCACCACAGCACACTCAGCCGCAGGGGTTTCCTTACCCACCACTTCCACCTGAAGCCTGGCTGGGACCCTTTCTAACCCATCTTCTGCCTCTCTCATCATCCCCCGGCCAGACCTAGGGTCAGTGGTCGCACCTCATTATGGAAACTTGCCGTTACGGCTGCAGCCATCACTCAGCCCAAACCTGTGGTCCTTCATGGACAGCAGCAGGGAACCCGCACCTTGAGGCGGGTTCGTCCATATTCCCGTCCAGCTGCTTCAACTGCAGCCCAAGCCTCATCTGCTCCAAGATAGCCAGCCAGCCCAGGGCACAACAGCACACTCAGCCACAGGTGTTTCCTTACCCACCACTTCCACCTTGAGCCAGGCTGGGACCCTTTCTAACCCATCTTCTTCCTCTTGCCGTGATGCACATGCTGCCTCCTCAGACTGTACACCTGCCAAAGTTAGACGGCTCCACTAAACAAGATCCAGAAGAGCGTTCTCTAGATTTCCTTCTAATATTTTTCTAGTTTCGTATCTTGCGTTCAAGTCTCAGATCTATCTGGAGGTCATGTTTGTATACGGTGAGATAAAAAGTGTCCACTTTCATTCTTCTGCATGTGGTTATCCAGCCCTCCCAGTACCATTCACTAAAGACGGTGTCCTTTCCCCAGTGTGTGTTTCTGTCAGCTGTGTCGAAGATCAATTGGCTGTGAATATGTGGCTGTCTTTCTGGGCTCCGTCATGTGTCCCATTGATCTATGTGTCTATTTTCCTCCTAGCACCATGTTGTTTTAGTTACCATGCACTTGTCAGAAACTTTGTCTTTCTAATTTGTAGTGAAATGGGATGCCTCCAGTTTTTTTCTATTTGCTGAGGAAGGCTTTGACTCTTTGAGCTCTGTTTTGGTTCCATATGAATTGTATGATTTTCAAATTCTGTGAGTGATGACACTGGTATTTTGGCAGGGGTTGTATTGAATCTCTAGGCTTCTTTGGGCAGTACAGTCATTTTAATGCTACGAGTTTCTTCCATCCATTAGCATGGGATGATTGTCCATTTCTTTCTCTTATTAAAAATTTTCATCAGTGTTTTGCAATTTTCCTTGTAGAAATCTTCAAACTCCTTGGCAAATTTATTCTGTGGCATATCTTTTTTCATTTTGTTGCTACTGTAAATGGGACTGCCTTCTTAATTTCCTTCCCAACTAGACCATTATTGGTGTATGGAAATGCTGCTGATTTTGGTACATTCATTCTGTACCCTGCAATAACTGTTTTTATTTATTGATCAACTCTAGGGGTTTTCTGGTGGAACCTTTACATGTTTCTAAATCCAAGATCATATCTTCATCAGATAAGGATAATTTGATGTCCTCTTTTCCAATGTGGATGCCTTTTATTTTTTCCTCTTGCCTGGTTATGTGATGTTGAATAGCAGTGGTGAGAATGGGCATCCTTGTGTTGTTCCTGTTTACAGAGGAAATGCTTTCAATGTTTCCTCATTATGTAGTAGGTTAGGCATGGCTTGATCATAAACAGCTTTCATTATTTTCAGGTATGTTGTTTGTTTGTTTGTTTTTTAGATGAAGTCTTGCTCTTTTCACTCAGGCTGCAGTGCAATGGTGGGATCTCAGCTCACTGCAACCTCTGTCTCCCAGGTTCCAGCAATTTCCTGCCTCACAGTCCTGAGGAGCTGGGATTAGAGGTGCCCACCACCATGCCCGGCTAATTTTTGTACTTTTAGTAGAGATGGGGTTTCACCATGTTGACCAGGCTGCTCTTGAATTCCTGACATCAGGTGACCCACTCACCTCAGCCTCTCAAAATTCTGGGATTACAGGCGTGAGCCACGTGCCTGGCCATTTTCAGGCATGTTTCTTATATGCGTAGCGTGTTTGTTCCTTTTTCAGGACATGGCCTCACTCTGTCTTTCATGTTGGAGTGCAGCGGCAACATCAGAGCTACAGCTTTGAACTCCTGAGCTCCAGCCACCTCAGCCTCCTGAGTAGCTGGGACTCTGGGTGCATGTCACCAGAGCTGGGTAATTTTTATTTTTATATTGTTGTAGAGATCTATGTTCCTTAGGTTGGTCTTGAACTGCTGATGTCAAGTGATCCTCCCAGCTCAGCTTCCCAAAAGCACTAAGTTTACAGCATGAGGCAGCGCCTGGCCCAGAGTCACATGTTAACATCACCTCCTCACTGCAGGGCTCTGATTTTGGCAGTGACTGAAAACCTTAAAGGAGAGTTTCTGGTCAGGCCCTGCCCAGTCTGTGAACAGTGGGGAAATGGAAAGATGGCATGTGGATGGTTCTTTTGGAGAACTGGCCAGACAAGTGCTAGATGCTGTTTCCTGGAATACAGGACCATGAGATGTCCAGTCCAGCTGCCTGGTCCAGGGCCCCTAGCACCATCTAGTTTGGGAGCTCACCCAGAAGGTACCTTGGTTGCCCAAAGCAGCTGATCTTCCTACCAATCTGGTCCCATTTGAGAGATGTAACTGGGCCCTGTCCTCCAGGAAACCATTCATGTGCTTGCCTGTCTTTGTCCTCACCTTGCCTGGCCTCTCTGTACCATTAGAACTTGGATTTGCAAGGCTCTGCCTGTCAGCTGAGCATCACAGAGCAGCTCTCTTCTGTTCCAGTGAGGATGCCCAGGCTCCTACACCCCTGCCCAGATTTGACCATTCTCCCCTTCACCCACAGGTGACCTCCAACCTGATTCTGCTCACTGTCTTCTGGAAGCTGCTCTGAAAAAGGGCATTTTGGCCTCAAGGGCTGAGCATGTCACTCCCTGTTTTCTGTTGATCTTTCCAGCGCTCTTTGGGACAGCCCATGCATTTGTCCATGTACTGCTTCTTTGGAAGGCAATCAGGGCTTTCTTTCAGGGGCAGGTATAAAAGTTCTTGTGAGATTTGTGTATGAAGTCTGCCTTCACTACCTGGATAGGACTAGCATGCCTCCGCTGCACAATTGCAATCTTACTACACATTTTTCTTTAATTTTTAATTTTATTTATTTATTTATTTTGAGATGGAGTCTGGCTCTGTTGCCCAGGCTGAAGTGCAGTGGTGTGATCTTGGCTTACTGCAACCTCCGCCTCCTGGGTTCAAGTAATTCTCCTGTCTCAGCTTCCTGAGCAGCTGAGACTACAGTCACATGCCACAACACCCAGCTAGTATTTATATTTTTGGTAGAGACGGGGTTTCTCCATATTGGCGAGGCTGATCTCGAACTCCTGACTTCAGGTGAACTACCTACCAGAGCCTCCCAAAGTGATAGGATTACAGGCTTACATTTATTTATTTCTTATTTATTTGAGCTAGAGTGTTGAGCAGTCATTCTAGCTCGAGTGCAGTGGCCCAAACTTGGCTCACTGCACCTCTGCCTCCCGGGTTCAAGCGATTCTCCTGCCTCAGTGTCAACAGTACCTGGGTATAAAGGCAAGTGCCACCTCATCTTCTAATTTTTACATTTTCTGCTCCCTGCCTCACCAGGTCCACAAGCAGAGAGGAGTGCAAGGCAAGGCAATTCTAGGAAAGGTAATGCCAGGCAAGGCAAGGCAAGGCAAGGCAAGGCAACAAAATTCCAGGCAAGGAAATTCCAGGCAAGGCAAGGAAAGGCAACTCAAGGCAATTCCATGCAAGGAAAGGCAAGGCGAGGCAAGTCAATTCCAGGCAAAGCAAGCCAAGCCAAGGCATATTCAAGGCAAGAAAATTCCTGTCAAGCAAGACAAGACAAGGTATTCCCAGGAAAGGCAATTCCAGGAAGGGTAAGGCAGGGCAATTCCAGTAAAGACCATTCCAGGCAAGGCAAAGCAAGGTAAGGCAAGGCAAGGCAATTTCAGGCAAGACAAGGCAAGGCAATTCCAGGCAAGGCAAGGCAAGGCAAGGCAATTCCAGGCAAGGCAAGTCAAGGAAAGGCAATTTCAGGAAAGGCAATTCCAAGCAAGGCAAGGCAAGGCAAAGGAAGGCAATTCTAGGCAAGGCAAGGGAAGGCAAGCAAAGGCAAGGCAAGTCAATGCAAGACGATTTGAGGCAAGTAAATTTCAGGCAAAGCTAGCACTTTGCCTGAAATTGCAAGCAAGGCAATTGCAAGCAAAGTAAATCTAGGCATGGCAGGCAAGGAAAGGCAATTCTAGGCATGGCAATTCCAGGGAAGGCAAGGCAAGCCAAGGCAAGCCAAAGCAAGGCAATTCCAGGCTAGGCAAGGCAAGGCAATGCAAGAAAATTCCCGGCAGTGCAAGAATATTTCAGGCAAGGCAATTTCAGGCAAGGCAAAACAAAGCAAGACAGGCCAATTCCAGGCAAGGTAATTTGAGGTAAGAAAAGGCAAGGCAAAGCAGGGTAATTCCAGGCAAGGCAACTTGAGGGAAGGCAAGGCAGGGAAATTCCAAGCAAGGCAATTCGAGGCAAGGTGAGGCAAGGCAAAAAGGGCAATTCCAGCCAAGGCATTTTCAAGCAAGGCAAGGCAAGGTAATTCCAGACAAAGCAACCCCAGGAAAGACAAGGAAAAACAATTCCAGGCAAGGCAAAGTAAGGCAAAGCAATGCAATTCTAGGCCAGGCAATTCCAGGCAAGGCAAGGCAATGCAAGGCAAGGCAATGCAAGGCAAGGCAATTCCAGGCAATGCAAGGTAAGGCGTTTTCAGGCAAAGCAATTGCCCAAAAGGCAATTCCAGGCCAAGCAAGGCAAGAAAAAGCAGGGAAAAACAATTCCAGGCAAGGCAATTCTAGCTAAAACAAGGCAAGGCAATTCCAGTCAAGGCAAGGCAAGGCAATGCAAGACAAGGAAATTCTAGGCAAGGCACTTCCAGGTGAGGAAAGGCAAGGCAAGGCAATTTAAAACAAGGCAATTCCAGTCAAGGCAAGGCAAGACAAGGCAATTCCAGGCAAGGCTATTCCAGGGAAGGCAAGTCAGGGCAATTCCATGCAAAAAGAAGCAAGGTAATGCAATGCAATTCCAGGCAAGGCAATTCCAGGTAAGACAATTCAAGGCAATTCCAGGTAAGACAATTCAAGGCAATTCCAGGCATGTCAATTCCAGGCAAGGTAATTCTAGGCAAGGCAATGCAAGTCAAAGTAATTCCAGGCAAGGCAACAGAAAGCAAAGCAAGGCAATGCAATTCCAGGCTAGGCAATTGCAGGAAAGGCAATTCCAGGCTAGGCAAGGCAAGACAAGGCAGGGAAAGTCAATGTCAAGCAAGGCAATTCCAGGAACGGCAAGGCAAGGCAATTCCAGGGAAGGCAACTTCAGGCAAGGCAAGGCAAGGCAAGGCAATATCAGGCAAGAAAATTTCAGGCAAGACAATTTCAGGCAAGGCAAGGCAACACAGGGTAAGGCAATTCCAGGCAAGGGAAGGCAAGGCTATTCTGGGCAAGGCTATTCCAGGCAATACAAAGCAAGGTAAGGCAAACAAATTCCAGCAAGGAAATTCCAGGCAAGGCAAGGAAAATCAAGGACAGTCAAGGTCATTCCAGGCGAGGCAATGCAATGCAACACAATTCCAAGCAAGGAAATTCCAGGCAAGACAAGGCAAGGCAATTCCAGAAAAGGTAATTTCAGACAAGGTAATTCCAGGAAAGGCAATTCCAGGCAAGGCAAGATAAGGCAAGACAATGCAATTCTAGAACAGGCAATTCCAGGCAAAACAAGGCAAGATAAAGCAAGGCAATGCAATTCCAGGCAAGGCAACTCCAGGCAATGAAAGGCAAGGCAATTCCAGGCAAGGCAATTGCCAGAATGGCATTCCAGGCCAGGCAAGGCAAGAAAAGGCAGGCAAAGGCAATTCCAGGCAAGGCAATTCCCACTAAGGCAGGTCAAGGCAATTTCAGGCAACCCAATTCCAGTCAAGGCAAGGCAAGGCAATTCTAGGCAAGGCAATTTCAGGTGAATTGCCTTTCCTTTCCTGGAATTACCTTGTCTGAAATTGTTTTGCCTTGCCTTTCCTTGCCTTTCCTTGTCTTGCCTGGAATTTCCTTGCTTGGAATTGCCTTGCATTGCATTGCCTTGCCTTGTCTGAAATTGCCTTGCCTGGAATGACCTTGCCTCTCCTTGCCTTGCCTGGAATTTCCTTGCTGGAATTTGTTTGCCGTGCCTTGCCTTGCCTGGAATTGCCTTGCCTTCCCTTGCCTGGAATTGCCTTACCCTGCATTGCCTTGCCTTGCCAGGAATTGCCTGGAATTGCCTTGCCTGATATTGCCTTGACTGGATTTGCTTTCCCTGGAATTGCCTTGCCTGGAATTGCCTTTCCCTGCCTTGTCTTGCATTGCCTTGCCTGGAATTGCCTTGCCTGATATTGCCTTGCCTGGCCTTGCCTGGATTTGCCTTCCCTGGAGTTGCCTTGCCTCACCTTACCTGGAATTGCCTTGCCTGGAATTCCCTTTTCCTGCCTTGTCTTGCCTTGCCTTGCTTGGAATTGCCTTTTCTGGAATTGCCTTGCTTGCCTTCCCTTGCCTTGCCTTATCTGGAATTGCCTTGCATTGCCTGGAATTCCATTGCCTGGAATTTCCTAGCCTGAAATTGTCTTGCCTTGCCTTGCCTGGAATTGCCTTGCCTTTCCTTGCCTTGCCTTGCATGGAATCATCTTTACTGGAATTGCCCTGCCTTGCCTTGCCTGGAATTGCCTTGCCTTGCCTTGCCTGGAATTGCCTTGCCTTGCCTTGCCTGGAATTGCCTTGCCTTGCCTTGCTTTTTCTTGCCTTGCCTGGAATTGCTAGGCATTGCCTTGCCTTGGCTTGCCTTGCCTGGAATTGCCTTGCCTTGCCTTGTATGGAATTGCCTTGAGTTTCCTTTCCTTGCCTCGCCTCGAATTGCCTTGCTTTGCCTTCTCTTGCCTGGAGTTGCTTTTCCTTGCCTTGCCTAGAGTTGCCTTGCCTGGAATTGCATTCCCTTGCCTTGCCTTGAATTGCCTTCCCTGGAATTGCCTTGCCTTGCCTGAAATTGACTTGCCTGGATTGGTCTTGCCTTGCCTTGCCTTGCCTTGCTGGAATTTCCTTGCCTGGAATTTTTTGCCTTGTCTTACCTTGCATTGACTGGAATTGCCTTGCCTGGAATAGCCTTGCCTTGCCTTGAATTCCTTTGCCTCGAATTGCCTTGCCCTGCATTGCCTTGCCCTGCATTGCCTTGCCTTGCCTGGAATTGCCTTGCCTTGCCTGGAATTGCCTTGCCTTGCCTGGAATTGCCTTGCCTGGATTTGCTTTCCCTGGAATTGCCTTGCCTCACTTTACCTTGCCTGGAGTTACCTTCCCTGGAATTTCCTTGCCTTGGCTTACCTGGAATTGCCTTGCCTCGAATTTCCTTTCCTGGAATTGCCTTGATTGCCTTCCCTTGCCTTGCCTTGCCTAGAATTGCCTTGTGTTGCCTTGCCTTGCCTAGAATTGCCTTGTGTTGCCTTGCCTTGCTTAGAATTGCCTTGTGTTGCCTTGCCTTGCCTTGCGTTTCTTGGAATTGCATTGCCTGGAATTGCCTTGCCTTGCCTTGTTTGGGATTGCCTTTTCTGGAATTGTTTTTTCTTGCCTTGTCTTGCCTTGCCTGGAATTGCCTGGAGTGGAGGAGAATGGCTCCAGTGTCAGACTCCCCAACATGCTGCATGCTCAGCAGGATCTTCTGACGGACATCCAGGGAATACTCACCTTCCCCACCTTAGGAGAGGTCACCGGACAGAACTGTACTGGGTGTTGGTGTCATCCAGGACCCCACACACTTTCCTGAGTGTGATCCTGCTTCCCTCCTCTGGGCAGCTGCATCCTTTTCTCCTGCAGGATTTTCTGGAAACTCAGCTCTGGGTTTTGTCTCCCTTCTCCCCTCTCCTTGCCCCAACCTCCTTTTTCTGAAAAAGTGAGGGAATTGTTTACAGGTTAATTTGTTGAAAATAAGTGGTGGCCTCCACGCTTCTGTTTTCTTTCAGCCTGCTGGTAATGCAGGGTTACAAAGGATGCCTGGGCTCCCACACAGGTGCTGGCAGAGAGGGTGGCAGGTGGTGCTGTGCCTCTGTCTGCTCGAGGAAGGAGGCCATCCCCCTGCCCCTCGTCCCTAGGCCGGGCTTCTTCCTGACCTTCTGAATATCCTGTAGTCCAGAGACCTCAGAACCCACTCCTGAGAGAGTGGAGCCAGGCACTTAGAGAAAGACAAAATGGTGCCATTCTAGGATCTTATTATGTATCTAAATCTGTTAGAAAGAAAATTAGGAACTATGTATAAAACTTAAAATATTCAAGTATTAAAAGGTTATTTGAATCAAAGTTTTAAAACATGCCATCAGCAAGCTTCTACCACTAAGTGGGTACTTTTACAGAAGTTGAGCAAGTTCCATGAGTTGAGAGAAAAATGAAGCCACCTGTGCAGGGAGAGTGTGGGCAGAGGGAAGCCAGAGAAGTCCCAGGCTGTGGAAGCCAAACAGGAGAGCATGAGCCAGGAGGACGGTCAGGATTGGGGATGAGGTTGCTCTCCCTGGAGGAGGAATCCTAAAGCGCACAGCCTGGGACTCCCTCCCGTGGGGTCCAGTCCCCCAACATTTCACAGGCCTCCTGGAGCTGCCTTCCAATAAGGACAAACACAGCAAGAAAAGATCCATTTCTGCACAAAAGTCCTGGAAAGAAGAAAAAAAAAGCAGTGAATGGAGTCAAAACGTTACCAGTGCTGAGTTAGTCTCTCGATTCTTTTCTAAATGGAGTGTGGTTTCCTAGTCAGGGAATGGAAGAGGCCCCTCCCACACAGGGACAGGGTCATGACCCCAGAGGATGAAGCAGCAGCATTTATTCAAGATACAACAGTGAGGGGATCCTGTCACATTCCTGTCTCCCTGGAGAGGGCACATCTCAAGAAGTGATCCAGGAGACATGTAAGTTTCTAAAACCACTCCCTTCACTCTGTTCCCCAGGACCTGGCCCAGACTCTGAGATGCACTGGCTTGGGGTACCCTCGGGTGGCTGTGTAAAAAACCACAGTTTAGGGCCAGTCTGGGGCTTCCAGACCTGGCCAGATGTCCCCAGGCCACCTGTTTTTCTGCTTTGTCTCAGTGTCCATTGGCAGATGGCCTGATACTTGGGGCTGGCCCAAGGACACCTCAGGAAGGTTTGGTTCCCACTCTACAATGGTCCGATTATCCAGAGGTTTTAGGGACATCGATCTGCCTTCGGGAGATGGACAGGGGCCTTAAGACTTCGGTTGAGAACAGGATGCTCTGTCTCTTACTGTCTGGGCAGGGATGGCCTCCAGCTGCAGGAAGTACAGCAGCACCTGGACCTGCCAGAAAGAGTGGGAAAGAGGAGAGAGGCTCAGAGGGTGCTCACAGCTGGTGATCTTTAGCCCCCAAGTCAAGCTCAGGTGCTGGGTCCTCTGCTGCTGCCATGAAGCCTTTACAGCAAGATGGGAGGTGGGGGTGTGGATGTGGACAAGGCATGACTTGGGGGGGTTATTTTAGAGGCGCACAGGGCCTTGCTCTGTCACCCAGGCTGGAGTACAGTGGCTCTGTCATGGATGACTGCAGCCTCTAACTGCTAGGCTCAAACCATCCTCCTGTGTCAGCCTCCCAAGTAGCTAGGACTACAGGTGTGTGCCACAATGCCTGACTAATTTTTCCTTTTCTCTTTTCTAGAGATGGGGTTTGCTGCATTGTCCAGACTGGTCTCAAACACCTGGGATCAGTTATCCTGCCGCGGTCTCTCAAAGTGCTAGGATTACAGGCATGAGCCTCCACACCCAAACACTTGGGGCGGTTTTAAGCCCCCAGTAAGGTGCATCAGCAGGACCAAGTGGGGACCTGGGCCTCCCCAACACTCTCATCCATGCAGACCTAGGCAAGTGTCTCTCTCTGAATCTCAGGCACCACCACAGACAATGCAAGTAGGAAGCTGGGCAGGGCAGGACTGGGGGTGTAGCAGGCAGAGGCCACCTCTGTCAGGTCGGGGTGGCATGGGCTGGCTGGAGCCTGTCTTCTCACATGTAGCTCATGACTTCCAAGGACCAGCTGTCAGTCATGGTGATGGGCCACTGGGATTGGCAAAAAGCTTGCTCTCGTTCTCTGAGGCTGGAGCAGTGTGGGGCCAAAGACCATGGTGAGGTTGTGCAGGGACTTTTATTGACTGCCTTTTTCTTACCAACCTATGCAGGACTGAAGCAGAGGGTGCTGTTTCTATGCCACCACCAGGAAAGAGGCAGCGGGGATGGGCCGTGCTGGAGTCCTCTGGGAGGGAGCGACCTCAACCCTTGCTGTGCTGCAAGCTGATTCCAGCCCTGGTACTTGTGGGTCTCAGCAGCTCAGGACGAGGGGTTAGCTCTGGGCTGATGGGGAGGTCTCCTCCACGGTTGGGGAGTGAGGGAGTTGGGGGATTAAAGTGCACTGCTGGCCATGGCCAAAGCTCTGAGCTCTTTGTGAAGCCACAGTGCAGAAGGGGGAGCAGAGCAAAGAGGAGAGGCTGGGGTGGGGGTGGCAGTGGTGCTGGTCCCCAGAGGCAGTGAGGGACTGTAGATGGGTTGGGGGGAAAGGTCCTTGGTGCTGGGGGTATGATGTGAGCAGAGGGGCACCCTGTGGCCTGGGTTTTTGTAGCCCTCCCTGGGCAGCCATGAGAGAGCTGGGTTACCTTTTCAGCTGGTCCAGAAGGAAAAGAAAGGTGAGCAGGTTGGCCTCCAGCCAGGACAAGGGCAGGTTAAGCATGGAGTTCTCCTTTGGAGTGGGGTCTGAAATTACTGCAGAAGGCAGTGGGTTACTCCTTGTGGTCACAACGAGCTGGAGACCTCTCCTGAGTTGGTGACATGGAGCACCCAGGACACATGTTCATGAACAGCCCAGGCTCATCATCATCCTCACTCCCACAGCACTGGGCCAGAAAGAGGACACTGTGAAGGGTGCCAGTGTGAGATATGAGCCACCTGAATCCCTTTTCTCTGCCCCACAGGGGTCAGCAGCACCTGGAGAACAGCAGCAGGAGGTGGCGTGAGAGCAGTGGCTCATGGGTGGAGCTTCCCATGGGAAACTGCGGTTGCCACCCCTTCCCGAGGGCAGCCCAGAGTAGTGGAGGCTCAGCATAGAATGAAAAAGGGAGTGAGATACACAAGGAGGTGGGAGGTGGGTGGCCCCAGCCCCACAAACTAAGCAGAGACCCTCTCTTCACCCTAGACTCCACAGGGGCACCTCAGGCTGGTAGACCAGGTCCTCTGGGCATGGGCCCGGGAGGCAGGCCTGCCCTAAGGGTCATGCAGAGGATGCAGGGCCACACACACCAGTGCTCTGCTTAGACATCAGCCTCCAGGTTGACTCAGGGTCAGGCCAGGTTTGATCCTGTGCTTGACTGGGCCAGGACCCGTGGCTAGAGCACCTGGGGACCCTCGTTCAGCCCTGGTCTGCTGGAAGAGGGACAGCAGACTTTAGGACCCCACAACACAGCACTGCTGAGCATTTTCCTCTCTTGGCCTCCTTGAGGAATAGGACAAGGAGTCCTCTGGGGACAGACGAGGACTTACACAACAGCCTCAGTTGTGGCCCTTGCTTTCTGAGCCTGGTTAAAACACTGACCATGGCAGAAAGGACACAGCTTGGGTTCCCACACCTCACTTTCCACAGCCCTAATGGCAGCAGTGCACATGGAGGAGATGCCTCCTATGACGCCAAGGCCTCCAGTGTTCACCGATGCCCTCATCAAAGTTGGGTAGAACTTGTCAGTGAAGAGGGGCTCAGGCAGCTCAGAGAAGTAGAGCTTCAGCCTGTCTGCGATGGTATGTACATCCATCTCACTCATCATCGACACGTCCCTGTCATCCGGAAAGAACATGGAAATGCTGTGGCCTCCTTGAGGATCCCAAGTGGGTCTCCTGCCATCCCTGCCTTGGCTAAAACACCATCCCTGCCACACTGGCCACTGTGCGGGTCCCTCCCTGGCTTTGAGCAGCTCATCTTCCTCCTCCCAAGAGCTGTGCGTGGTTCTGCGTCTGTGTAGAAATGATGGAGGGGTGTGTGCATCCCCATATTTCTCCCCTGCTTGGCCCAATGTGATGTCCAGGAGGAGGCTAGGGCAGCATGGGAATCAGGTGGCTCTGCCCTGTTCATAGCAACACCAGTCTTCTGACAGCAGGAAGGCTGTGGGAGAATCCGATGGGTTTCAGTGTTTGAACCAGTGTCTTCCTTTGGATCCACTGGAGCTGACCTCCCCACCACAGTCCAGGTCCATCCTGGGCCTCCAGAGGGAACTGAAACTACCGCATGACCCACCCAGGGGTGCTGGGCATTCTAGGGGTCCTGGTCTGGGTGGGTAGTGTGTGCCCCAAAGAAAGGTCACAGGCACAAAGTCCTGTTGCTTTGAAGTTGCTGGACAAGGACACTCTGGGTTCTCAGTGCCCTCCCCTGGCATTTGGGGCAGGTCCAGGTCCTTAATAATCCATGAGGGGTAGTGAGATGGAGGTGGAGGTGGTGCAGCCTTAGCCTGAGCTGGGTCCCATCAGTGCCCTCTGCCCGCCACATCCTCACACAGGGAAGTGGACAGAACACACTGAGTCCCAGGCTTCCACACCTCATGTCCACCCTCAAGGCAAGAAGTCCAAGGCCCCCCGACAGCCCGGGTCTGCCCAGCAAGTGGCATGGGTGGGTAAGATGGTTCAAGAACTGGCTTCTACAGAAGCTCCTTCTACAACTCTTGTCTTCTCTTTATAAAAAATAATAAAACAGTAAATGACAAAAAGACACAGTGAAGAATGTGATGTGACCCGGCCATGGAGCGCTGTGAGATCTCATTGTGAACATTGACGCCCACACCTCCATCACGACACGATCTGGTTGATGACAAAGGCTGCCTTCAGTGCCTGGATGACCGGGGCCACTCCAGACCCACAGTAGATGCCCACCTCCTTCATGCCACGATGCTTGATCCACTCCACACATTGGTGCAAGAAAAAGGGCACCTTGGCAGGTTGTTCAGTGATTTCATATTTTTGTGTAGTTGCCTATTTATTATAAAGTGCCTGTGTCAGCTTTGCAAAGCCTTCATGTTCATTTATAGTATAAGTTTTAAAATTCATTTGTTTGTTAAAAATAGATCAAGTGGCATTTTTAAATGCCTGTTTTGAAGCCTAGTAAAAGTATGTCTGAACTAACTTGGAAGTTTCTGTTATAAGCCATAAATATTAAATGACAGAAATGCCATTTTATGGTAGGTTAGTTCTATTTATTTATTTATTTATTTAATTTTTTTGAGATGGAGTCTAACCCTGTCACCAGGCTGGAGTGCAATGGCGCGATCTTGGCTCACTGCAACCTCTGTCTCCTGAGTTCAAGTGATTTCCTCTGCCCCAACCTCCTGAGTAGTTGGGAATACAGGTGAATGCCCCAAAGCCTGGTTAATTTTTTGTATTTTAGTAGAGGTGGAGTTTCGCCGTGTTGACCGGGATGATCTTGATCTCCTGACCTCGTGACCTGCCCGCCACGGCCTCCCAAAGTGCTGGGATTATAGGTGTGAGCCACCGTGCCCGGCCTGGTAGGTTAGTTTTAAAGGTTCCTGACCCACTTAGTATATAACTTAAAACAATGTATTGGTGTCAGAAATGTGTAATATGGCATTTTTATGGTTAGTTTCACGTTTAATTTGAGAATACTTAACCTTATAAAATCAAACTAGCAAATTACCTTAGTAGACAACACAGTTGGAACACTTTCAATAAGAATTCTTCCTGCAATTTTATGTAAGAAGGAACTGGTATATTTAAAGCTGCATGTAAAATCTGAGTTTTAGGTTTATTATGCTAGCCATCTCTATTAGTTTTCTAGGAGTGCCATATCAAAGTACCACAGACTGGGGGGCATAAACAACAGAAATGTGTTCTCACAGTTCTGGAGGCTGGAAGTTCAAGACCAAGGTGTCAGCAGGGTCGGTTCCTTCTGAGGCCTCTCCTTAGCTTGTAGGTGACCCTTTTCTCCCTGTGTCTTCACATGGCCTTCCCCATATGCATGTCTCTGTCCTGATGTCTTCTTTTAAGGATACCAGTCATACTGGATTAGGGTCATCCATATGACCTCGTTTTATCTTATTTACATCTTTAAAAGATTTTGTTTCCAAATACAGTCACACCGTGGCCAGACATGGTGGCTCATGCCTGTAATCCTAGCAATTTGATAGGCCAAGTCAGGTGGATCACTTGAGGCCAGGAGTTCAATACCAGGGTGGCCAAAATGATGAAACCCTATGTCTACCAAAAATACAAAAAAATTAGCCGGGGGTGGTGGCACATGCCTGTAGTCCCAGCTACTCGGGAGGCTGAGGCACAGGAATCACTTGAGCCCTAGAGGCAGAGGTTGCAGCGAGTCAAGATCGCACCATTGCACTCCAGCCTGGGCAACATAGTGAGAGTGAGACTGTGCTGGGAAAAAGAAAAAACCAACTGAAGAAAAACACCAACCAAATAAAGTCGTCACACTGTGAAGTACTGGGTTAGGACTTCAACATATAATCTTGGGAAGACATAGTTTAGTTCAAAACACCATCTTTAAATTGAACCCTTTTTGTAGTTTTCTCTGTGTGTGTGTGCATGCACACGTGTGTGTGTTTAATAGAAATAGAGAAGTTTTAGCTCCTTGACCTAGTAATCCTACCATTCACATTCATTTGCTTCCTGGCTGGAAAGACTTTATTTCTTGAAGGGCAAGTGTGAAGTTACATATCCTGGCCAAGCTGAGGCACAGCCTTGAATTTCCTAAGTGATATTTAAAAGATAGGGCAGCAGAGTTGGCTTTCTCTTCTTCAGAGCCAGATTCTGTATCACTCACAGTAGTTCATGTGGTTTTTATAAAATCCCCAAATTCTTAATCTGTTATAGAACATTTCAGGTATGTAAAATATCTACGTTCTCCATTGTTATTCCCATCCTGAAGTGTGCACAGATTATAATCTGTTCCTTTGAAAAGGAACAGATTTTATATACGAGAGGGAACCATCTGTGGTGGGGGGCTTTATACAGTGAACAACCTGAGAATTATTTTAGTAAAGAAAGCTGTTTATTGGGGAGGACTCAAGATGGCGCTGTGAGAACAACCCAGGATTGGAGTTCTCGTTGTGTCTGTGGAGAGGTGAGTCTGAGCTGCATTTCCAGACTGATCTTTGTTGCCCACGGAACGGGGAAATTCCCAAGTGAAGAGGAGACGCGGGACGCCAGGCAGATATTCCGCCTGGCGAAGCCGGCAGCTGGGGTGGCGGCGGCCGGCCCTACCCAGCGCTCCCCACAGGGCGCACTTGTCCGGGTGCCCCGTTGAACCGGCAACCGGAGACATGAGAGGGCTGGACTTGAGACTGAGCTAGACTTGGACAGTGGGCCAGCCCAGGGGATTGCAGGAACAGAGCGTTAGGGTTGGCCCAGTGGGACGAACAAAACCGCGATTTCAAACGAGCCCCGTGCAGACGGCCCGAGACGCTCTGAGGGGGAGGGGCGTCCACCATTACCGAGGCAACCTGCCCCAACTGAGATACACGCCCATTGCTGACGCAGCCAGCCGGTGCCGAGGCAACCTGTCCCTACTGAGATACACGCCCACTGCTTACGCAGCCAGCCGTTGCCGAGGCAACCCGTCCCTACTGAGATACACGCCCACTGTTTACGCAGCCTGCTGTTGCCGAGGCAACCCGCTACAACAGAGAGAGTCCGCCGCAGGGCGTGGCGGAGAACAGCAGAACGGTGGAGCCAGGGCGAGCCTCACAACAGCAGGGCGGAGCCTCGGCAGGCAAACAGTGGCTAGTCTGCATCCTAGCTGGGCAGGACCTCAACGGACATCCAAAAATAAAGCCCAAACCCCTCAACACAGAGCATTTGAGAAAAAAAAGGGTTTTTTTAATGAGCTCTGTTGCAGCAGAATCAAACATAGCAGCCTAACAGCCCTGAATGAACAACAGAGCTCACAGCTCAGCAATTAAGCCCCTATAAAGTACAAACTGTCTCCTCAAGCAGCTCCCTGACCCCTCTAGATCCAAAAGACTGACATTAGGCAGGCACCATCCTGGGACAAAGATAGCAGAAAAAGAAACTGGTAGCATCCCTCGCTGTGCCACAGCTGCTAGAGGTGCACCCCAGACAAGCAGGGTCTGGGGCGGACCTCAGCAGTCGTACAGCGAAGGGGCTAGACTGGTAGAAGGAAAACCAAGCAACAGAAATACTTCATCATCAACATTCAGGGTGTCCACTCAGAGACCCAATCGAAAAGTCAGCAACTACGCAGATGACCAGCGGACAAATCAACAAAGATGGGAAGAAACCAGTGCAAAAAGGAGGAAAACACCCGAAACCAGAACACCTCGCCTCCTAGAAAGGACCAAAACTCCTCACCAGCAAGGGAACAAAGCTGGACGGAGAATGACTGCGACGAAAAGATGGAATTAGACTTCAGAAGATGGACAATGAGAAACTTCTGTGAGTTAAAAGATCATGTATTAAATCAATGCAAAGAAACTAAGAACCTTGAAAAAAGATTTGAAAAAAGATTTGAGGAAATGATAACAAGAATGGATAACTTAGAGAGGAATATGAATGAATTAAAGGAACTGAAAAACACAATACGAGAACTTCACGAAGCATGCACAAGTTTCAATAGCCGAATTGACCAAGCAGAAGAAAGAATATCTGAAGTCGAAGACCAACTCAATGAAATAAAACGAGAAACCAAGATTAGAGAAAAAAGCGCAAAAAGGAATGAACAAAGTCTCCAAGAAATGTGGGACTATGTGAAAAGACCTAACCTACGTTTAATAGGGGACGAAGAGAATGAATCCAAGTTGGAAAATACTCTTCAGGACATCATCCAGGAAAATTTCCCCCACCTAGCAAGACAGGCCAACACTCAATTGCAGGAAATTCAGAGAACACCACAAAGATATTCCGCAAGAAGAGCAACCCCAAGGCACATAATCGTCAGATTCAATAGGGTTGAAATAAAGGAGAGAATACTAAGGGCAGCCAGAGAGAAAGGTTGGGTCAACCACAAAGGGAAGCCCATCAGACTCACAGCAGATCTCTCGGCAGAAACACTACAAGCCAGAAGAGAGTGGGGGCCAATATTCAACATTCTTAAAGAAAAGAACTTTCAACCCAGAATTTCATATCCAGTCAAACTGAGCTTCAGAAGTGAAGGAAAAATAAAATCCTTTGCGAACAAGCAAGTACTCAGAGATTTTGTCACCACCAGGCCTGCTTTACAAGCGCTCCTAAAAGAGGCACTACACATAGAAAGGATCAGCCGGTACCAGCCATTCCAAAATCACACTGAATGCTAAAGAGCATCAACATAATGAAGAATCTACAACAACTAACAGGCAAAACAGCCACTTAGCATCAAAATGGCAGTATCAAATTCACACATAACAATATTAACCCTAAATGTAAATGGACTAAATGCACCAATCAAAAGACACAGACTGGCAAATTGGATAAAAATCCAAAACCCATCAGTGTGCTGTATCCAGGAAACCCATCTCACATGCAAGGATACACAAAGGCTCAAAATAAAGGGATGGAGGAAGATTTACCAAGCAAATGGAGAGCAAAAAAAAAGCAGGAGTTGCAATTCTCATCTCTGATAAAATAGACTTTAAAGCAACAAAGATCAAAAGAGACAAAGAAGGCCATTACATAATGGTAAACGGATCGATACAACAAGAAGAGCTAACGATCCTAAACATATATGGACCCAATGCAGGAGCACCCAGATACATAAGGCAAGTTCTTAAGGACTTACAAAAGGACTTAGACTCCCACACAATAATAGTGGGAGACTTTAACACTCCACTGTCAATACTAGACAGATCAACCAGACAAAAAATCAACAAGGATATCCAGGGCTTGAACTCAGACCTGGAGCAAGCAAACCTGATAGACATTTACAGAACTCTCCACCCCAAATCCACAGAATACACATTCTTCTCAGCACCACATCACACCTACTCTAAAATTGACCACATAATTGGAAGTAAAGCACTGCTCAACAAATGCAAAACAACTGAAATCATAACAAACAGCCTCTCAGACCATAGTGCAATCAAGTTAGAACTCAGAATTCAGAAACAGACCCAGAACCGCACAGCTTCATGGAAACTGAACAACTGGCTCTTGAATGTTGACTGGGCAAACAACGAAATGAAGGCAGAAATAAAGAAGTTCTTCGAAACCAATGAGAACGAAGACACAACATGCCAGAACCTCTGGGACACATTTAAAGCAGTCTCTAGAGGAAAGTATATAGCAATAAGTGCCCATATGAGGAGAATGGAGAGATCCAAAATTGACACCCTATCGTCAAAATTGAAAGAGCTAGAGGAGCAAGATCAAAAAAACTCAAAACCC